ATAGAGAGAGAAGGCACCCCCGCCCCGTCACCCCCCCCCTCCTTGGTCTCCACACTCGGCTAAAGTACATGTACTAAAATCAAATTTGAGTACAAATATTTATAACAAAAAATTGTTCAATGAATTATATACGGACACAAATGAATTTATAAGAGAGGGTATACAATAAATAGCGTTAATTAATACCTTATTTGTAAGTTTTTTTATACTCCGTTAATTTTTTGGAGATCTCGATAAAAGAATTATATTAAAACCTCATTTCTTTTTTTATTGTGTCTATTTACAATTGATAACTGTATTTAGATTTTAATGGTTGATAAATTGTTTTAAGTGTAATTTTGGGGGCTGGATCGGGAGAATGTTCAAAATTTGAGAATGGGAGTACGGGATCCCGTCCCGTACAAATGTTCAATAAAACAAGTTACGTATCCTGTGAATGCGATTTTACCGACCCCTATAAACTGTTATGACCCCGCTTACGTAGAGGAGCTAACAAAAACGTTTATCGCACAACGAAATACAAAGCAGATGAAGGTAGGTAGGAAGAACTAAAACTGAGACCGAGAACTAACTATTGGCTGGGCTTTTATACTAAAAACTTTAAGGGCTGACGCCCATACACAACACCTCCCCCCTTGAAAAAAAGGTTCGGCTTCACTTAAAGCCGAAGCTTTACAATATACTAACACTTTCCAGCCAAACAAACAAACAACAAAAATACATACACACATTTGGGGGAATAAGGACAATGGGAACAAAAAATACATACAACATTACAAAAAAATACAACAATAATATTATCACAAAATTTTATATATGTGGCTCATCTACATCTCCATTTGCTTATCCTCTTCAACATCTTTCATCTTTGACTGGTTCCCAACGTTGTTCAAAATTTGAGAATGGGAGTACATCTTTTTCTTCATCTTTTTCTTTGAGTTGTCCAAACTGCAGGCACTCGAAGAAGTTACACTACTTTCACTCAACACTTTTTCTTCACTAATATTCATTTTCCGAATATCTTCACTCAACAATTTCTTTTTATTACTCCACTCATCTCGACGGATCTCTTTAAACGACCTGGTCACAATACTCTTTAACACTGGCACTTTGATTTTCCAAGCGTTTTCCGTCTTTCTCAATATTTCTCCATTGAGCCACTCGATTTTTCCACTTCGTTTATTTGTATTCTTCACTTTCACTTTTGTCCCGTTCGGGAACGCATTCTTTTGTATCTTGAATGGTGCCTTCTTTTTACTCCACTTTTGGTACTTTGGCTTTTGGTTCCGACCTGACACTTCTTTCAATCCAGGCAATCCCAAGATACACACTTCACTATTCACTAAATGGAACTCCATAAAGACGTCTTTGTCTTTCACTCTCACTTTGCTTCTGAATTTTCCTTCAATTTCAACTTTGTTGTCACCCAGCCCAACACCACTGTAATTCACTTTTTCAATTGTTGGCTGTCCAATACTTTTCCACACTTCTTTAGTGACAACATTAATCTGCGATGCAGTATCAACAATCATTTCAATATTCAATTCTCCAAACTTCACTCTTTGTTTAATCCACTCTTCTTTTTCTACACTTTGCATTGGATCGAAGATATCCAAAATTGCACAATATGGAGAACCTGAATGATTGTTATCATTACTCCACTGCCTTTTAGGCTGAAACTGTTTATCATTCAAAAACTTACAATGCATACGCCAGTGACCAAAACGTCCGCAATTACTACACTTTTTCTGAATGACATTTTGCTGATACTTGACGTTTGGTTGCATTCACTTTCATTTTCACTATTTTCCCAATACTTTACTTTTTCCACTGTGTTGACGGCCGGCACTTCTTTTTTCACTTCACTAATTTTCTCCTTGACAAGGTACAGTGCCTCACTTTTATTGGCCATATGTGCCCGACACTCTTCAATAATTTCCTTCAATGTCACTGCCTGTCCTCTTTCACTTTTACTTTCAACACTCTTCATGGCAACTTGTCGCACTGAGGTAGCATCACTAGGCAACCCTGAAATAAAAATAAGAATTTTCAATTCTTCAATTGACAAGGCCATTTCTGCACGCTCACATTGAGCATTCACTACATTCCCAAACTCAACAATATCTTGGAGGTCACTACACTTAACATTTAAGGCCTCGAACCTTTTCAACAATTTGGACCTATGGTCGCTAAACTCTTTCACTAATTCACTACAGAGTTCGTCAAACTTCATCTCACTCAATTTGGTTGGCAGCATCTTCCGTTCAATCTGGGCATACTCTTCTGGCCCCAATTTACTCAATAACAATCTCACTTTAGAGGATTCTGGCAGGGTTTTACCCTCCTCCTCAAAATAGGACCGATGCCTGCCTAACCATGACTCAAAGGTCATACCACTCGACAAATCAAAAATGAACTCACCAATCATTGTCACTAATTTGCTATACAATTCGGTGTCGTGCAGTTCACTCGGCTTAAGCAGCCTCACTAACATTTTCTCAAATTGCTCCTGTTGAGCTTTCAGCAATTTCTCCACTGCTTTGACATCCATGTTCACTCACTAAAATACTTTTTTATCACTACACTTTTATACTAAACACTACAATTCACTAACCTTTCGGTTTTACAACACTGCACTATTTGTCCACACTTTACTTTCCTTGAACTGCACACAGCTTACGTAGACGAGCACTCACTGAAGTTGACGAACTGTTGTCGAGACCAGGTTCTTTTTGAACACGACCGCGCCACTTGTTATGACCCCGCTTACGTAGAGGAGCTAACAAAAACGTTTATCGCACAACGAAATACAAAGCAGATGAAGGTAGGTAGGAAGAACTAAAACTGAGACCGAGAACTAACTATTGGCTGGGCTTTTATACTAAACACTTTAAGGGCTGACGCCCATACACAACATAAACATTGTTTTTCTATGATAAAAAATTTTGATAACACATCATATTTACTCGTTAGGCATTTAGCAAGACAAAAATTATAAAATTCAAAATTTCTTATCACAATATTACGGAACAGGATCATTGAGTCCCGCCGGTTGAGTCCCGGAGCCACATTTTGGACCATAACTTTTCCAATTCTTAATCGATTTAGTTAATTAATATTTTAATCGAAAGCTCTTGATGTAAGGATTATTTTATCTATCAGGATTGATCTGATCAGATCAACATACAAAAAGTTACATCCTAATAAAGGTCAAAAATCACGATTACGCGCACTTAACTGGATGTAACTTTTAGTAGGATGATCTAATCAAATCAATGTACTTGGCAAAAATAATCCTCACATCCAGGGCTTTCGAATGATAAAAGATTTATTCTAATTCATTGAAAACTTAAAAAGTTAAGGCCCAAAATATGGCTCAGGGACTCAACCGGCGGGACTCAATGATCCCCTACCCCAATATTAACATTATTTACTTCGAATAATTTTTTTACATTAGAGTATTCTCAAAAGAGGGTGATGTGTTTAAGGGTAAATTGTTTAAGGGGGATTTTAAAGGTGGATTTTTTGTAAGATAAATTATCTCACCAAATAAAACTATAATTACTAGAAGGAGGGGAAACAAGATAATTAATTAATTTCAAGTTAAAACTGTTATTGATGTGACTGATTTCACACCACTCGTGTCATTAAATAATTAATTTGTATAAAATTCTATTAAATTAAAATTACATTTTTACCCAGATTTATACGAAAAAATGTTTGAAATGCCTTAACCCAAACGCCTTCTTTGTATATTTCAACATTTTCATCAACATCAAAAACTTTAGTTATAGTTAATTATTTTGGGAATTTGTCAAAGTGCCCCAAAATTTTTGCCCCCCCCCCCCAATTTATCTCCTCCTCCGGCCTCTCCACTCGTCTAAATTCATGTAAAATCAAATTTGAGTAAAAGTATTTTATAACAAAAAATTGATCAGTAAATTAGCTACAGACGCGAAGGAATTTACAAGAAAGTAGAGTTGCACGAGGCGAGGTTTTACGGAAAACCCGAGTCCGAGGATCACCGAGGTTGAAAAGTTGAGATCGAGGTTGAGTGTCAAATTTGGACCCAAGACCGAGGTCGAGGATCGATAACTGAGGATTTTAAAAATTTGTATAACTATTCAAAATTTACTTAAATTTGATAAAATTTATCAAATATTCGCTAACGCATTGTTAAATTGATATGTTCTTCTGATTCAGAGCCAATAGGGTGCCTAAGATCATTCAACACAAATCCTTGGGCAAATAATTTCATAGATTTGATAAAAAAAATTTTGAAATACTTTGGTTTTGAAATTTGATGTGTAAAGGACTAGATAAAATTATAAGATCAAATACTTTAAAACTAATTGCTCTTTTGTTACGGTGGATTTAGACGGATATCGAAGGATCAAAGGAGCATACCCTAACATAATGCCTCCGCGGCAGAAAATCATTTGAGGACATGGGGACGACAAGCTAGGAGCATTAACTACTTACACGCTTTTTTTATTTTCATTTCAAAAATTTTTCTTTTGATTCTTCCCTACTAATTACTTATCAGTCCAAATTATAAATTTCTCTCCTTTCTATTTTTTCATTCAACTTTTCTTTTTTTCAGACCCGCCCCTCCCCATTCTCAGAATAATAATTAAAAAAACCTTACATTATTTTTAATAAAATTCATTTTTTGCTTTAACAATAGTTAGAGTTTGTTGAAAATATTTTTCTTTTCGCGTTTTTATTTTCAATTTTTATTCAATTTTTCAATCCTTTGTCAAATAATTTCATAGATTTTAAAAAAAAGTTCAGATACTTTGGTTTTGAAATTTGATGAAACTCCATAGTTTTATTACCCTTCGATGTAATGAACCTTCTGTAAAATAACCTATCTCGTTACCGGTCTCCAACTAAGATTTCCCCCAAAAATGACTTTCAATTTATCAAATCATTCATATAACGGTTTTTTCTTCGGTCCTTTCTAGTTGGATATATCGAGATTCGTCTGTAAATAAAAATAATGTGTGACCACGAATTTGATGTTATTGTAATCGACAATGGTTCTGGAGTTTGTAAAGTATGTATTCATTATTATTTAAATTTGTCTAAATACTCGAACCCTAAAAAAGATCGAAGCGGGAATTGGGTATTTAATCAGAAGATATTTATATATTTTCATTAGAAATTTGCAAAAGACTAGTTTAATTTATTAAGTTTAATAAACAAAATTAAATATGAACTTCATATTTAATTTTGTTTATTAAACTTAATAAATTAAAAATTACATTTAAAAACCTTAATTATTTACTTAATAAAATTTCTACAAATTTTAATTACTTTTGTTTGCTTTTAAAAATAAGTCAGCCCATCCCCAAAGAATGATTACTTTTTATCTTTTTTAATAATTTTGTTTCTAAAAATATTTTTTATGAGTATTTTTGAACATTTTAAAAAATCATGAAATTAGCATTTCCGAGATTCTGATTCGAGAGCTCGATCGAAGTTTTTTGAGATTTCGTGATATTCAATATTAGATATTGTCGATCTCGAATCTCAACTTTTTCAGAAAATTTTTTGTTAGGGGGGGGGGGGTCTCCGAAAAACGGTCAAGCTTATTTCAAGTTCAAACATTGGTTTCGAACTAATGAATTAAAAGTTTGAAGTTTATAAACATTTTAAGGCTGGTTTTGCTGGTCATAAGGAGCCTTGTGTTGTCTTTCCCTCAATTGTGGGACGTCCACATCACCCAGGCTTTCGGCATTCGTTTCGAACGGAAGACAATTATGTCGGCAACGATGCCCAAGCTATACGGGGGATTTTATCTGTCACAAATCCCATAGAGCGTGGAATTGTTACGAATTGGGAGGATATGGAGAGAATTTGGCATCACACATTTTACGATGAATTACGTGTCAAGCCTGAAGAATACCTTTTATTGTTGACTGAGGCCCCACATACCCCAAAGGCTAATCGGGAAAAGATGGCTGAAATTATGTTTGAGACATTCAAAACGCCAGCAATGTATACTAGAATACTTTCTAGAAAAATTTTTGAACCAGAAAATTTAATCTATAGGTATATTGCAATTCAAGAGGTGCTTTCTCTATTTGCGTCAGGTCGTTATACTGGCACTGTTATTAACTCAGGGCATGGTGAGAATTCAAATGTTTAATTAGGGCCAAAAGTCAATAAAAGTCAATCCGACCCAAAAGTCAACCCCGTCCCCCAACATGCCCTCCCCGGCAAACCCCGATTCACGACAATTCCTACTCCGAAGGCTCGGGGAGCTACCCTATGTTTAATTGAAAGAATAAAAATATTTAAATTTTTCAAGGGGTTACTCATACTGTTCCAATTTATGAAGGCTATGCTTTTCCTCATGCTATTCTTCGTCTCGACTTTGCTGGAAATGATTTGACTGATTATTTAATGAAAGTTTCTAAATTAGAAATAAAATTACCTTACAAAAATTTTCAAATATCCAGATGCTCAATGAGCGTGGTTATTCTCTTAGTACAAGTTCTGATCGAAAAACTGTTGAGGAAATGAAAGAGAAACTTTGTTATGTAGCATTGGACTTTGAAAAGGAAATGACAAAGGCAGCTTCGTCTTTGGAGAAAAAATATAAATCGCACTACAACGAATTATTAACTATTGGAAATGAAAGTTTCCGATGTCCAGAGGCGCTCTTTCAGGTGCATAATATATTTTTGGTTTAATCAGATAATTTTTGCATATTTTGGATATTATTTTAAATTGTTAATTAATTAAAGGAATATGAATAATATTCGGCTAAACACATAATTGTAAAAATATTATTTAGTCAAATCTGCGATTTTAGTCAAGAAGTTTTCTTTCATTTTACTGCCTGTATAAACAGTGATTGAAGTCCGATACATACATAGTTTATAATTTACCGGTTCAATTAATGGGAAATTAGAGAAATAATGGTGGATTTAATTTTTTACTTTTCAAGCCTTCTTTCCTTGGAATGAAAATGGAGGGCATTCATCAGACTTCTTTAAATTCGATTATGAAATGTGACACTGACATCCGTAAAGGTTAGTTGATAAATTACCCTTAAGTAAGGCTTATAACCTTTCCTTTTATTTTGGAAAGTATATCAAACCCTCTCCAAAAGATTTAAAGAATTATATCAGATTTCGAAAAGTTTTGCTTTTTTACCCAATTTATTTCTAAAATTTTAAATAATTTTTAGAATTATTTGCAAATATTGTTCTCTCTGGTGGCTCAACAATGTATCCTGGGATTTCTGATCGTATGAAAAATGAAATCGCTGCCCTCGCCCCATCAGAAACGAAAATTAAAATTACAGCCCCTCCAGAACGAAAATATTCTGCCTGGATTGGGGGTTCCGTTGTTGCATCACTTTCTTCATTTCCAAAAATGTTTTTTATTAAAATTTGATCAAAAATATATATTTTTCTTATAATTACAGATGTATAGTCAAGCAAGAGTATGACGAGTTTGGTCCGTCGTTTGTACATCGAAGGTGTTTTTAACCAAAAAAATTTTTATTAATTTTTTTAAATTTTTCTAATTCTCAAGCCAATTTTTAAAGAAAGGTTAATTCAAAAATTTTAATAAATTAAAGTCGAATTTTTAGAATTGGTGAATTTATCACTCCTTTGACAGATTTTTAAATTATTGCCTTTATTAAAGAAATTTAAATTATATTAAATATTCCTTTCAATGGATGAAAATTTTTTCTTAATTTTGTAAGAAAATCCCCTAGTAATTTTTTAAATAAAAAATTGTTTTCAATTCATCTTCGCAATTATGTATATCACTTCCTTAAGGCTCTCCTAAATAACCATCATGTCCTCCAAAATGAGATGATTGTCCTCCCTCTTGTTGCCCAAAATCAACTTAAAAATTACAAAAAAAATAATTTGGATTGTAATAAAAAATTATAAGGAGGATTGAATAATATAGATATGAACTACATACTAATAAGTAGGGTTTGACCCCGACCCCGTACCCCGAACCCCGACCCCGTTCCCGAACGATTTTTTCACGATTCTTCCCGACCCGAACCCCGCCCCGAAAAAAAGTGAAAACCCCGTACCCCGACCCGAAAAGTTTCGGGGTTATCGGGGTTTTATATACCCAAAAAATGCCATTTTTGTGAGAATTTTAAGAGAAAAATTTTAAAAATTTACTCCCAATTTACTTTGCCTTTATTATTTTTGAAAGAAAAATGAATAAAATATCAAAATTCTTTTTCCTGCTCTGTTAAGAGACTTGTGGTTGAGTGGCTTAGTTGTTGGTTTTAGCCTATATTACCATTAATATAGGATTGGGTTAAGATCCAAATAAGCTGAACTCGTTTGTTTTGGGATTTTAGATCCAATTAATCACTCCATTTTCTCTTATTTCCATTAAAACTTAAATTTATTTAAAATGGAGATCTAATTTTTAAATATTATCAACCATAAAAAACAATGTAAAGATTTTTTGTTTAGCTAAAATTTCAAAAATTTTTGTGTGCAGCGCTAAAAAAACGAAGACATTCGGTTGGCCTTCCAAGATTCTCAAAATTTTCGCCTGCGGCGCAAAAAAAAACGAAAAAATCTGGCTTCTTGGCCTTATAAAATTCTCGAAATTTTGCCTGCGGCGCAGAAAAGAAAGAGATACCCCGATATCCTCCAAATCCCTAATCACTCGTTAACCCTTAAATCAATGATATCCCTTGAAACTACTTTGAGTCCCTACAAATCCTCTTATATCCCCAGATATCCGCTTTAATCCCTCCAAATCCTCCTTAATCACCTTTAGATCCAATTAATCACTCCAATTTCTCTTATTTCCATTTAATCCCACCTTATTCTCATTAATTTATGAATAAATTAACGAAAATAGCCCAAAACGGCTTATTTTTATAGCATTACTTCTTTAAAGAAATTTTTACACTAAAACCCCGTACCCCGACCCGAACCCCGGCCATATTTTGCTCCCCCGACCCGAACCCCGCCCCGAAACAATTCGAAAACCCCGTACCCCGACATACCCGCCCCCGAGCGTTCGGGGTCAAACCCTACTAATAAGAACTATAATAATATAACTTTCTCGATAAAGACCGTCGGGAATAAGTTAATCCTGCGTTAAAAATAAGAGAGGTGTTTAACTGAGACCTGAAATGGAGATTAAACAGCAAATACATATTTTTAAAAATTTCAGCAGGGAAATAAAAGTAAATAAATTTATAACCCCTAGAGATCGGACCAAACATAGATTTGAGCAAATTTTATTTAAATATTTGATTAAATATTTGATTTTGCCATTTGTCCGATCTCTATATCCGATCTTAAAAAAAGGGTATCTTATTGTAAAATGTCAGTCTAAATCCCTTTTTATATTCAATTTAAAAATAATTATGTACCCTGTTTCAGGTAAGCCAAATACATAAATTTCAAGTAAATTGGATTCAAATCATTTTCTTTAGAATATTTTCCAAAATACTCTAAAACCTCCAAATTATTTAAAATACTTGAATTTTCAATTAAATTCTCAAAAATTTTAGTATTAATTTCAATCGTTTTGATTGATTCTAGATAACTTTCAATTGATATTTCAAATCTTTAAAAATAATTATAATAAAGTAAAGCAGCTGGGCTATAGCTATTTCTCTCCTTTAGCTAGTGAAAAGGTTAATCGGCGGCTAGGAGCTAATCAGCATCTTCAGTAGACCGGACTGATGTGTTAGCCATTACATCACGCCGCCTACTGCTCAGCCTTAGGAAATAAATAGCTATATGCTTTACAATAATTTAAATAATATTTACGTATTATTTTGTCCATAATAATTATTTAATAAATATTTATAAAAATTAATATCCAAATTATATTCATTAATAAATGATTGAATAAGCATTTGGATAAATTTATATAAATTAAATAAAATAAAAATATTTTGTTCAGAATTTGCTAGAAAATGACAATTGTAATAAATTCCTCCTATTTGCGTTTCGCTAAATTCGAAAAAAAATTTTTAATTATTGTTTAAAACAAAATAAAACATTATTTATTTCTACTCATTAAATAAAATACTTTTTTTTATTTACAAAGATTTTTAAAGAATTAGTTTGGATGTGAGATAAATTAATCTGCGCAAGGTTTGGGGTGTACAAAGCAGTGCTTCGTAATTTTTCGGACTTCGTTTCGCCCAAAATTTTGTCTAGTACTCTTATTTTATATTACCTCGAACTGTCCCTATTTTTGCTTCAACTCGTATTCATATCAGGTACGAGTACGAGAATGAATTTAGGTACGAGTTGTGAAGCACTCTTTCTATTTTTACCATTTTGAAGATTTTTAGAATTAATTACTCTGAGATTAATCCTAAAATACTTAAAAGATGCTTTCCTCAAAGTCTCAGAACTGTCTTGATTTTTAGAATCCCCAGTTCTACACAAAGTCTACTAAAAATAATTTTTAAATATTTACTTTAATTGCATTAATTCTGCATGAATTCTCGTTAAAATTGCATAAATATTATTTTCAACAACTGTCGACAAATCAATTTGAGTTAAATATTTAAAGAATTTTTTTAAATTAGTTGGAGACATTGTATAGGCTATTTCCACAAATCTTTTCATAATAACACTCCTTTTTGTTTGAATATTTTCATATTCGTTATAATCTTTTAACTTTAATCCTTTCACCATGTTTTTATAATGTGTAATAGCCTATTAAATTAATTAATTAAAAATTAGTAAATTATCATATGTAGAGCCCGGACCGTACCATACTACGGCCGTATTTTTCGGTATTTATCGGTATTCCGTATCGGTAATACGGTACGGAATACGGCACGGTAAAATTTTGAAGTTAATCGGTATTTATCGGTATCGGTATTTTTCGGTATTCCGTATCGGTAATACGGTACGGAAAAACTAAAATACCGATGATACCGACCGATGAAATTTTTCAAAATTTTATTATATTTTAAGGTAAAAAAGGCTTCTTGTCCATTGAAAATTCTAAAAAAAAATTGCCTCGGCGCTATAATAGGATGAAATTCAACTTCTTGGACTTACAAATTCTCAAAATTTGAAAGTCAAAATTTCAAAATCATAAAAACTAAGAAATATGTCTTCTTGGTTTTTGAAAATTTCACAAGATTTCCGCCAAGCAGTGCTGAAAGTGTTGAGATACGATGGACTGGTATAGAGAGATTATGAGTAATTGAGAATGGATTTAGGGGAGTAACAGATATATCAAGAGGGTCTGTGATGATTAAGTGGATTCGTGTGGATTAAGTGGATTTAATGGGGCTTACGTTCAAGTCTAGGGATTAAGAGATATCTGGCTTTAGGGTTTAATAATGATATTGAGGGATTTGAAGGTTTATTGTTGATTAAGAAGGGTAAGGAGGAATTTTACGGTTAATCCACTGATAGCTTTATAAATCTCCTTAATCCCTTTAATCCACTTATACCCACCATAATCATTATATCTCCGGATCACCCATAATAGTACAAATTTAACTATATTATCCTTAACACCACGATATAAATTCATATCTCCTTAATCCCTCAAAATCCACCTATATCCCTCTAAATACTCAGATATCCCTCCAAAACCTTATTAATCCCTACAAATCCTCAATATACGACTTTATCCTTGCTAATTTTTATAAAAAAATAATTATTTTTAATAAATTAATTTTTTAAAAATACGGTACGGAATACCGATAAATTTTTATCGGTATTTATCGGTATCGGTATTTTTCGGTATTCCGTATCGGTAATACGGTACGGAAGAATTTTGAATTTCATCGGTATTTATCGGTATCGGTATTATACGGTAGTACGGTACGGAATACGGTACGGTACGAAATTCCGGGCTCTAATCATATGTAGCTCCAAACAGAGCGTGGAACTCTGACAATATCAAATATCCGGCGCTTTACTAAGTAGTAGAGGTGGGTCGGAATTCCGATTTCCGGCGTTTTTCCTTCCGATTTCCAAAAAATTTGGATTTCCGATTTCCGTCTTTTGAGCCAGTTCCGATTTCCGCTCTTCCGATTTCCGGCACCTCGGCTAAATAGAATGCCCACTTAATTAATATTTCCAAATATGTATTTCCGACTGTTTAACAATTAAATTTTTTTACCTCTCTCAATTTTTTCAATGTTTCATTGAATGGAATTATTTCAAAAATATCTTCAAATTCTAATAAATTACTAAAAAGTTCATCTCCATACTTTTTAATAATTTGAGCCAAATCTTCCTCATCAGAACAATTTAAAAAGAGTTCCTTATTAAAATTAGCAAATATTCTAGCCAAAAGGGATACTTCGACTAAGGCAAATTCTTGATCAGGATGAATGTTGGGCGTTGAAGGACTATCAACTTTATCCTTCCCTTTATTTCTTTTTGAACTAGAGCCTTCTTCAAAATTTCCTTCTTCACGACCTTAATTTTTTAAATTATTGTCCGATCTCATTATAGGATACTTCCAATCTTGGGTTAGCCCTGCGAATTTTAGCCCTGCGTTG